TTTCCCACAATTACCCCCCCTCATTGAAAGCAGACTGACAGGACTCCCGAAATCAGGAGTCACCGGGATAAGGAGGTGCGGCTGGAGATTGTGAAGACCCAGCAGCAGGCGGCTGACGTTCTCACCAAGTGCCTGGCAGAACCTGAGCACTGGAAGGGCATGAAGCTTGCTGGAATGAGTGTGCATTGAGTGTGCATGAATGAGCTAAGGCATGAGAGATGATGGTTGGCAGCCATAGGGGGAGTCTGTTATGTGATGCTATCATTCGCATTCACGTTTGTCTGCCTCCCATCATATGTTCGTGCGTTGCATGCGTGGTGTGGGTGTGTGCAAGAATATGTGTTTTGTGCGGTTTGGATTTTCTGAGTGTGTGTGAATGTGATCTGGCTTGAGCAGATATATGAAGTGACTCTTTTGCTCAAGCTTTCCGTCGAACCAAGAATCGTTTCAGTCGGAGCACGAGCAAGAAAGTTACGAACGTTCGAAGTTCGTATACTTTTCACATTTGGTTGCGACGACTATGGGAACTTTGCGGGTTGACTCAATATGAGGTATAGACTTTTTGGGGGTTGGGAAATTTGTCCCCATCAGTGTTGATGCTGCTATGTGGTTGGGAGAAGCCAAACCAGGTTTGCAAGTGTGGCCAAGTTGGGTGAGGTGGATGGCATGGGTTGGAAAGTGACAGAAGTAAAAGTGGGGTTGCCATAGGAAGGGGATTTGATGTGCTTATGGGGTTTCCTAGGTTGGGGACTCATTGGGACCTTCCCTCTCGTCCTCCTCTTCCCTCCTACCTACTTTCTAGCCACTCCAACCTTCTTGGTGTGGCACTTGTGAGAACTTGTAAAACAATTGTGATTGAGTTAATACTTCATGCCAGCTCACCCCCTAGTGTGCCAAAATTCATAACTCGAGTTCTACTCCGTCTTTTGACATGATTCAATTTGGAAAAGATAGCCACGGTTAAGAGCTACATCATACTTGAGTTTGAGACAATTCTATCTGTGAAAGTTTTGTTCTTGACGTTTCTTGTGAAGTCGACGATTCCGTCCAGAAATTCAGACCAACGATTTTGTGATATTCCGGCCCCATAACTTCCTAGACTCCGTCCTTAGTCTTTAACAGACATGGGAGGATGGAGGTGGGGCAGGTTGGGGTGGATGAGTTGATGATGCTGAAGCTGTTGGGGATGACCATGGTCGATGGTAGGAGCGGGATGGGAGGTCGTAGTTGCCGACGGTGACAGTTGCGTTACGCCAATAGATTCGCGGTCCAAGCTGATATAGCCACGGTCGACCAAGAACGCCTTTGTAGCCGCCAAGGTGCATCTGCTCGAACGTAACCGTCACCTCGAGGCTTCCAAACATGCAGGGCACGGGGAGGAGGGTAGGTCCGCAGCGCCGCCGAGTACCATCTGCCATGATCACGTCCTGTGGGGTGCTGTTGGGATCTTCGGGAAGAGATAGTTCAGCAACAATTGAGGGAGAGAGAAAATTTGCTGAAGCTCCGGTATCAAGTAGAAAATCTACGTAGCGGTCCTTGATTTTTGCCCATATGATGATGGCGGGGTATGGAGCGTTTGATGTTGTGTACAGTTCAGAGGTGCCGATGAATGATGGGGTTGGGAGAAGCGGGGCATGCGACGCGCCAGAGGTCTGCCCCACTACTACTGGCGCTGTCCGTTTCCCCGTCATTTGTTTAGGCTTCGATGATTGGGGCAATTACGCTTGATGTGCCCAATCTTCCCGCATTGGTAGCACATAACGTTTGAGGAATTCCGCGGCTACTTCTCCATCATTCCCAGCTCCATAGGTGTAGGACCATTTGCACGAGCAGCTGGAGCGTGATTCGTGTGGCCCATCTCCATGCCATTGAAGCGTTGGAACGCAGCAAAGTTGATCGTGTCGAAGCGCTCTGCCATACGGATCATGTCATCCATTGACGTGCATCCGCGCAGCTCCACCTTGGTGCGTATCTTTGGTTTCTGCCCGCGCTTAAACTTATCCATCAGCTCGTAGGCAGGGATAACGGGAATCTCAAACACCAACTCTCGGAAATGGTTGACGTATTCGGCTACGGAGCGGTGTTGGCGTAGTGCAGCGAGGTTGTCCCGGGCACGTTCAATCGCGTTGACGGGTTCAAAGTTCATGGTGAGTGATGCTGAAAATTCTTCATATGTTGAAATTGTAGAGTGGCAGCTCTGCCACCAAGTAGTAGCAGCTCCTCGCAGCATCATGCCAGCGTGACGCGCCCATTCGGCTTGGTTCACGTGGCATAGGGAAAGGTACTCCTCCATTTGGAAGAGCCACTTTCGCAATGGTAGTAGGTCTCGTTTTCCTGGGAAAAATGGCTCAGGTTCCGGTGCTTTCAGATGTGCAGAGACCACAGCAGGTGCTGGCGCCGGCACCTGTGCGCGCAGGAGTCCACGTTTCTGGAATTCGCCAAGAATCCTGTCACGCACTCGCGTTCAATTTCTCGGCGCATATTGGTGACAAACTCGTTCCAGAGTTCCGGCGTCATATCAGACGGCCTAGCCATAGGGTCTAGAATATGGCGGGAGCGTGCAAAATGACTAGCCAGGCTCTGATTACCGGTGAAACGTTGCTGGCAGGGAAGTAGCAGCCTTAGTCGGCTTGGAAAACGGTATGGGAAGCACTCTAAAGTTCTCTGGAATTTGCATTGTGACTTCACAAATTTGAGAGTACAATTTTATAGAGCACATTCTAACATCGAGTTGCACTCAAAAGTCGCGACCCTCTCTGAATTTCTTAATGGTAACCTAACCCTTTGAAATGAACCTGCCATGAAATTCAGAGAATTATTGCGGTACGGGATTGGACGGGGAGCTTGGTTACGGGGCTGTAATTTTGTCAGTATTGTTGGCGAAGTCGGCGAGCGGTCGGAACTTCGGTGTTCTGCGTTTCATAATTTTCGTGCGTGGGATTGATTTGGGCTGCGTGTCGGAACTTCGTCGCCCAATTGGAGGTTGAGTCGCTTGACCAATCCGGACTGTAGGTGAGGTGGCGCTTGACTTCCGCCCACCTGCACTGTTCTTGGAAATTGTCTTGTTGCACTGTTACAATTGACTTTTGCCCACTTGTGTTGCAGTTGGCAGCATTCGGCTGCTGCACTGTTACAGTTGTCGTTCCCTGTTGCGCACGCCACACGCGCCGTCATGGACGCTTTTCCCCCCCATCCTTGCCACCACCCTCATGCGCTCTCTCTTCTTCTTGCCCCTCCATTGCTCCTCCTCCTCCTCGCACTCGCGTGCCTTAGCCCTCCACCCCCACTCGCCTAACTCCTTTCCTCCCTATCCCTCGCCCCCCGCCCTCTCTCTATGTGCTTATGCTCTCCCCTTCCTCCGCCCCCGCCGCTGCTTCCCATCCCCACAGCGCGCCAGCTGACACGTCAGCGTGCTGAGCTGGCGGCGTTCTTCTACGTGGGCATGAACACATTCACGGACCGCGAGTGGGGCACGGGGCGCGAGGACCCGCGGCTGTTTGACCCGGCGGCGCTCAACGCGACGCAGTGGGTCGACACCGTCAAGGCCGCTGGCTTCCAGGTGTGCGCAACATAATCGGGAGGCCTTGAGGTGCGCACAACCCACCAGCCACGTGGTGCGCCTCGCGCTCTCGTTATCGTGCGCGCTGGGAGAGGCCCTAACGACCCCGTCGCCCTACCTACGGCCTCAGCCCCGTCGCCCTACGTGCGACCGTGGCCCCGCCGCCATACCTGCGGCCCCGACCCTAGCCCCGTCGCCCCACCTGCGCCCCGGCCCCGTCGCCCTACCTGCGCCTCGGCCCTAGCCCTGCGCCCTACTGGTGCCCTGGCCCCGTCGCTCCAACTGCGACCCTGGCCCCGTCGCCCTACTTGCGGCCCCGGCCATAGCCCCGTCGCTACTTGCGACTCCGGCCCCGTCGCCCCACCTCCGACTCAGGCCCCGTCGCCCTACCTGCAACCCGGCCCCGGCTCTGTCGCCCTACCTGCGTACCGGCCCCGTCGCCCTACCTTCGACCCGGCCCCGTCGCCCTACCTGCGCCCCAGCCCCGGCCCCGTCGCCCTACCTGCGAACCGGCCCCGTCGCCCTACCTTCGACCCGGCCCCGTCGCCCTCCCTGCGCCCCGGCCCCAGCCCCGTCGCCCTACCTGCGCACCGGCCCCGTCGCCCTCCTTCGACCCGGCCCCGTCGCCCTACCTAAGGCCCCGCCCCGCCGCCATAACTGTGGCCCCGCCGCTCTACTAGCGGCCCCGCCACCCTACCTGCGGCCCCGCCACCCTACCTGCGGCCCCGCCACCCTACCAGCGGCCCTGCCGCCCTACGCATGCTCGCACAGGCCGGCACCTGGCCACGTTTACGCGTCGGCCGGGGTCGAGCCTCTACACCCTGACCACTGAGTCTCCTCCTGTCCCTGCGTCTGATCAGGTAGCTGCGTCGGGTCAGGTGTTTGCTTCAGCGTCCAGGTCTGGTCCTGAGTCTGCCCCCTGCTCGTGTCGCCTCCTGTCTCACGAGACTCTCCTATGGCACCACCATCTTGGTCACCCCTCCCTGCCTCGTCTCCGAGGCATGGCTTCCCGTGTCCTTGTCTCTGGTCTTCCCCGGTCCCTCCCTCCCTTTCCTCCGGGCCTGGCCCTTCGTGCGTCCCCTGTGTCGAGGGGCGGCTACGGGCTGCCCCTCACTCCTCTCAGTTTCCCCCGACAGAGGCCCCCCTGCAGACGCTTCACATGGACGTGTGGGGCCCGGCCAGCGTCAGTGGACAGGGTCATGAGCGCTACTTTCTGCTGGTGGTTGATGACTACTCGCGTTACACCACAGTCTTCCCCTTGCGCAGCAAGGGTGATGTCACTGAGGTGTTGATCGACTAGATCCGCGCAGCTCGTCTCCAGCTCGGGAGGAGCTTCGGCTCGAACTTTCCTGTTCTGCGTCTGCACTCTGACCGAGGCGAAGAGTTCTCCTCTGGCCTTCTGCGAGCCTACTGCCGTGCGTGAGGCATCTGCCAGACCTTTATGCTTCCGAACTCTCCACAACAAAATGGGATTGCTGAGCGCCGCATTGGCATGGTCATGGACGTCGCCCGTACGTCCATGATGCATGCGGCTGCCCCCCATTTTCTGCGGCCGTTTGCGGTTCGGTACGCGGCGCATCAGATCAACCTTCACCTCAGGGTCTCCATGCCGGAGACCTCCCCAGCTTTGCTGTGGACGGGGAAGGTAGGCGATGCGTCTGCATTCCATGTCTGGGGATCTCGGGGGTTTGTCCGCGACTTGTCTGCGGACAAGCTGTCCCCTCGTGCTGCTCCCTGTGTCTTCTTTGGTTTCCCCCCTGACGCGCAAGGGTGGCAGTTCTACCACCCCACCTTTCGTCGTGTTCTGTCCTCCTAGGACGTCACGTTTGACGAGTCGGTCCCCTACTACCGCCTCTTCCCCTACCGCACTCCTTCCCTCCCCCCGCCACCGCTTTTCCTTGTGCCAGGTCCCCCCCGGGTAGACCCCCTCCCCCCTCAGGGTCCTGCCCCTTCAGGTATGTCCCAGGTAGACGCATTCGAGCCGGTCGAGGTTACTGGTGACTCTGGTGCTGCTGCGGGTGCTGAGCCTGGGGGTGCTGATTCTGGGGGTGCTGCACGTGTGGGTGCTACGCCAGGGGGTGCTGGGCTTTCGGGTGGTACTACTAGGGGTGCAGAGCCTAGGGGTGCTGAGACTAGGGGTGCTGAGCCTGGGGGTGCCGCGCCTGGGGGTGCAGAGCCTGGGGGTACTACGCCTGGGGGTGCTACGTTTGGAGGTGCTGAGCCTGGGGGTGCCACGTCTGGAGCTGATGAGCCTGGGGGTGGGGAGCCGGCGGCCCCTGGACCTGCTCGTGTGGCGTCTGGTGGTGCTGGGCCTGGAGGTTCTCCGGGTGCTTCGTCTCGGCGGGAGCCACTCTCTCGACAAGAGCTGCGTGAGTGGTTTGCCCGACGCTGGAGGCGTACTGCTGGAGTTGGAGCTTCTTCGGCTGCTGAGGGTGGTGGTGCCGCCGGTCCCGGAGGTGCTCGTACTGGGAGTGCTGGAGCTGTTGGGCCTGCGGGTACGACTGGAGCTGGAACTGCTGAGGGTGTTGGCGCTGAGGCTACTGCTGTCGGTCCTGGCGGCGGTCCTGTTGCGGGTGCTTCTGGTCCTGCAGCTGGAGGTGCTGTTGGCGCTGGTCCTGCCGCTCAGGGTGCTGGTGCTGTCCCTGCTGCGTCTGGAGTCGACGCGCGGCCTCGGCCGTACTTCGTTCCGCTCCTTCAGCAGGTTCTTGGTCCTCCTCCTCCCTTAGAGTCTCCACCGCCTATCCAGTCACAGTCACAGTTTCCCCCGGCCTTCCCACTACCTGCTCCTTCTCCCTACACTGGTCCCACTGGAGGTCTTGCTAAGCGTCGTGAGCCTGCGTCTTGTCTTGCGTCGCCTGTTCGTGCTGCTCGCACTAGTGGTCTCGGTTCGCGTCAGCGTCCTCCTCCTATCCCTGGCACGCACCAGATGTCTCTACGTCCGTCCACTGCTCCTCCACGTGTCCCTTTGCGTTCTCCTCCTGAGTCCTCTCTTCCTGCTCTTGCCGACCCGGAGTCGGACTCTCTTCTTGCTGCCAGTCCTACTGTCACGCGTCTCCTTGCTACTGTCGTCACTGACCCTTCCTTTGAGTCCACTGTTGCGTCTGCCCTAGTAGCTGAGCTCGTCGACTTTGCTGCTCGCTGTCGTCTAGACTACGCTGCTTGTCTTGTTGTTGAGTCTGCGTCTGTCTGTCCTCGGTCCATCGGGGGTAAGTGTGCTCTTGGCACGGACGTCCTTGAGGACAGGCAGGAGGAGTTCCAGTGTCTGGCTGCTGCTTCACCTCATCTCGTGTCCGCACTGCTTACCCCTGAGGGAGACCCGGATGCACTTGACATCCTGACTGCGCGCTCTTACGCGGAGGCCGTAGAGGGTCCCTACTCCTCTCAGTGGTAGGCAGCTTTGGACGCAGAGATGGCTTCCTTGAAGTCCACAGGCATCTACGTTGACGCGGTTACCCCGCCTGGGGCGAACATCGTCAGTGGCATGTGGATCTTCAGGGTGAAGCGGCCGCCAGGTTCTCCACCTGTCTTCAAGGCGCGGTACGTGGCTCGTGGCTTCAGTCAGCGGCAGGGAGTTGACTACTTTCAGACCTTCTCTCCCACCCCGAAGATGACCACTCTTTGGGTGCTGCTGCACATAGCCGCTCAGCACGACTACGAGCTTCAGTCTCTTGACTTCAGCACTGCTTTCTTGAAGGGTAGCCTACACGAGGAGATCTGGCTGCGCCGCCCACCTGGCTTCACTGGGACTTTTCCTCCTGGCACCCAGTAGAGCCTCCGGCGGCCAGTCTACGGTCTCCGCCAGGCACCGCGTGAGTGGCACGACACACTGAGGACTACGCTTGCGGCTCTTGGGTTTGCTCCCTCTACTTCCGTCCCGTCGCTAATTCTGCGCACCGACACCTCTTTGCCGCCGTTCTACATCTTCGTGTACGTCGACGACTTGGTCTTTGCCACTGCTGACACTGCTGGACTCGCCCACCTGAAGTCCGAGCTGCAGAAGAGACACACGTGCACAGATCTGGGTGAACTGCGCAGCTACCTTGGCTTGCAGATCACCCGGGACAGAGCACAGCGCACCATTGCCCTGACTCAATCACACATGGTGCAGCAGGTCCTTCAGCGCTTCAGCTTCACGTACTCCTCGCCTCAGGCCACTTCTCTGCCTACTCGCCACTCGCTCTCAGCTCTGCCTTTGGATGAGTCCGTAGAGTCGAGTGGCCCGTACCCAGAGCTTGTTGGCTGCCTCATGTACCTGATGACCTGCACACGACCTGACCTTGCATACCCTCTTAGCACTCTTGCACGCTATGTTGCTCCTGGGAGACACAGACCGGAGCACCTGGCTGCAGCGAAGAGGGTGTTGCGCTACTTGTGCAGTACGTCAGGCATGGGGCTAGTGCTTGGAGGGCAGAGTCCAGCGGTCCTCACTGGGCACGCAGACGCTTCTTGGGCTGACGACCAGGCTACACAGCGGTCATCACAGGGTTACACCTTCAGCCTTTCGTGGCGGGCTACTCGCTCGTCTTGCGTTCTCGGCTCCAGTTGTGAGGCTGAGATCTACGCCAGAGCCATGGCTGCTCAGGAGCTTCGCTGGCTCACCTACGTGCTGACTAACCTCGGAGAGCCACCTCGTTCTCCTCCAGTGCTGTACGTAGACAACAAGGCCATGCTGGCCTTGTGTCGGGAGCAGCGCCTGGAGCACAGAACGAAGCACATTGCTCTCCGCTACTTTCTTGCTCGTGAGCTGCAGGAGCGTGGTCAGTTGCGACTTGCGTACGTGGCCTTTGAGGCCAACACTGCTGATATCTTCACTAAGGCACTTGCGCCTTGTGATCATCAGCGCTTCTGTACTCAGCTTGGTCTTGTGCCTGTCTTGCTGCACTTGCTCACTTCTTGACCTTGCTTGTACTGTCACAAATATATATACTCCTGCTCTTGCTTGTTTAGCCCTTTATATATATGTGCTCCTGCATGTGAACTGGCACTGTAGCCTTGAACTTGTGCTCGGAATGTGTGGTGACTTTGTGATCCACCCTGAGCTTTGTTTTGCTTTGCTTGACTGGTCTTGTGACCCCTTGTTCTCCCCCACTTTGCCTATGGGGGTGTGTCAAATTATAATGTTGTGTAGGCTGTAGTGGGGTAGCCTATATGGGATACACATTTCTAGGGTTGCATATTTGTACCACTTTCATTCCTTAGTTCAACCATTCTCGTTTCAGTTTTCTCATTTGTCAATCTATGATTTGCCAGATTAAACTCAATGTATAGTGATCCAGTCACACAGTGGTTGTTAGGAATATTAAATAGAGCTGTACATTCCCATTGTATAAGCCTATGTATGTACTTGTTATAATTATCTCTATCATTTTATATTCACTCACACATCAGACCAATAATTCCGCTGCAATTTACTCTGCACAAACCTTCCTGAGGTGATCCTAGTCAAGATTTGTTACGAATAATAAATTGTGGAAGGAGAGTGCATTGCTATCAGTAGCAAGTGAAGCACGCAGTAAGGAGTATGAAGGCGAAAAGACGGAATGACGCGAAAAATCGCGCACGGTTACGTAGCATCTCAACCGTCGAAACAGAACCATCAGGCAATTGCACTGGCCAGGTGTGTGGTGCGAACAGGTTCGTAACTTTTCGGAGCGGTTAGGATTTGCTGCAACTGGGGAATGTACTGTTGGATGCACGTCATTCTGAGTGCATGTCATCCTAACGTCCTGCCGAGTGCTTGTGCGTGCATGATTTGCATGAGCGTATGTCATTGTGCATGGCTGTTGGATATTATCATTTCTGTGTTTTTCTCCAAGTCTAAATGCTTGATCATGCAGGAGAAATCCAGAGCTTTTCAACGACACCAAGATCGCCTTATTCCGACCAAGATCGCCCAAGATACAAGATTTCCAAGATTTGGATTTCTTATTACCTTTTGGGGTTATATCTAATTTGGGTGATTACTTGGGACATGACTATAAAGAGATCTTTGGTTGGGTGGTTAGGAAGGCAACTTTGACTTTTGGATTGGGGTGGCTAGAAGTTTCTAGCATGGGTTGCAAATGTTGCAACACCTAGGCAAAATCCAACTAGATTGGATTTGCATGTGACACCTCAACAACCTCATGATGAGGGTTGCATCCTTGCTGCTGGGAAGGTTCCTACCATCCTACCCTAGCTCTTGGAGAACCCCTTCCCTCTCATGGTTCTCTTGGAGTCCCCAACTCCAACTTCCTATGCCCTAATGTTTGTACTTCCTCCACCATTCTAGTCATGCGGCTGCTGGACATTTTTACTTGGTTCTCTCCATAGACCATCTTAGCTAAGCCTTAGGCGCACAATTCTACCGAGCGGATTTGCGTTTAGTTCAGTAATGAGTTCGTCGTAAGCTCTCAAAGTGACGGATCCTGAACAACATGTACCCCTTAGATTACATGTCAAGTCTATGTCGTTTCATATTCCCTAGTACTCTAATATAAACGAATATATCAGTCATTTAAATTCACTCCGACCTGAGGTCATAAGGGCCGACCACTACCACACACTCTTTGCGAACATTCATGAGGTTATCTTAGACATGATCAACCTTTTGATCGTTACATGGTATAAGAGCGGCTTCGGAATCATTCGCATCGTCACCTCTGAAAACTTCGTCGAACTAAGGTGGCGCCTGGCATTAACTTACGCGTAAAAATGGCCGAAGAATCTGGAGGTCAGAGAAATGTGTCCGCTGAAGCACAGACCAACCCGGCTGCTGCAAAGAGTCACTACACAATGGGAGAGGACTATGGAAGAAGGCATGGGGATGTTCGAGTGATCGTAGCGTTGCATTAGCGTTTTAACTACTTGTGTTCACAAAGGAATTTGGCAAGAATTTCACTAGATAGTGAAATGAACAATTGATTACAATGAGGCATGCCAGTCGATATAGCTATAATGGCATTGCAACACCTAGCAAGCCCTGTACAGGGCAAACTATGCCGGCGCAGCAGAAGAGCGGCATGCCAACGCTGCAACAGAGTGGTTCTGCCAGCGTAGCACCGCAGTGGTCTGCCAGCGCCGCAAAGGCAGATGAACTTCTACACATGTGCGCACCTACCAAGTAGGTACAGATAGACGGCTACGTCACCAAGCATATTGCGTAGGTGCTAACGTGTCGACAGTTTTGCTTGCGGTGCACCGTCGAGCACGTGATGCCGTTATGCAGATTGACTTCACAAAAACCTCCTGAGGTAAAGTCGGCGCGCTTCTGCGACCTTCACAGTCGTGCAGCTTCGGTCGGCAGGTTCGGGCATTATGCAGCATTGGCAAGTCGCACACAAGCTGCGTTGGCGGGCCGTGGAGATGCTACATTGGCAGATCGACGACTTTGTCGTGCTGGCAATCGACCTGCCTGAGCACTAGCAAATCATGCATGTGATGTAGTCAATCTTTGCTATTGCTTGTTCATTCTGAACTCTGTATTCTCAACATTCCATAGTGAAACTCTTGTTGCTTTGCCCTATGAAAACACAAGTCCTAGAGAACACAGACAGAGCTATGATCACTCTGACAGCTTGTGCCAAGCCCATAGTCTAGTTCCCACCGTTGTTTAGTTAATCTCCTCAAGGCAGAGCTCGTCGGCCGACTCGTCGCGCATAACATCTTGATGGACTTGTGCAGAGCCTCTCAACGGACTCATTGTGCAGAACCTCTTGACGGACTTCCGCAGAGGGTATCGACCGAATACCGTAAAGCAGAACATGCTCGACCATCACCTCCGTTGACCAGCAGAAGCCTACTCGACGATCACTTCGTCGTGTGACTATGCGTCCACGATGAGATCGCTTGGGTCCAAGCGAGGGCGGAGCCTTTCTTTTCGACAGCTGTGACAAGCGAGGAGACGGCAACGATCGGTACCGTTGCAGTCGCACAACTGCTTCAGCGACTTTTGACTCCAGAGCAAGGGCTTTAGACATTGCGGAATGGCGTCGCGGGAACATATTCCCAACCCTCTCAACCGGCTGTGAATGCCGTGATACCACCCCGCGCACCTTCTCCCTCGAAACAAATGGCTCAACACATAAGACTCCCCGTCTTGACGATGAAGCAAAAATCTCAACCCAATCAAGGTTTTACGCCGATAACAAAGAAGAACGACGACCGCGTCGCCTTTACTGCAAAATTTTCAGACATTTCGGGCGTCTGGCCGAGCTATGTATATTCCGCTTTGCCCCTTCCCAGTCCAATCCGAGCACTTGGGCTGGCACACGCGTCAAGTCGAGACACGCGTCAAGCCCACGGCTATCAACCCCCATCGCGCAACCTGAACCCAGGAGTTCAGCGACAGCGACAACAGCCGAACGCGCACGATGCCATCTTCTAAGGGTGACTGAATCTTGCTCATTACTGCGCAGATGAGCAGGCAAATGCGAATCAAGTCTACGAGAACAATGAGCACAGCTACACCATACTTGAAGACGAAGCCGCCACTACTTTTCCGGAGCAGGAAGACGTCAGCGAATTCCCAGACATCGGCGGAGATAATATCCATGGACGCAGATATTAAAGCACTAGAATCGCGTGACTTGGGTACTCGTCGAACGTTCAGCGGCCAAAGGAAGGACGGTGCTCTCGGGCCGTGACTAGCGCTGTGCCCTGTCTCTGGTGTCCTGTCGGTGGGTGTGTACTAGGTCGTGTCGCTGATTTCACGGGCCAATCGCTACTCTGACAGCGCTGCTGAAACCAATCGTTGTTGTGACAGCACTGACCAAGCGAGGTGAGCAAGGACCTTTTGCCGATGTTGAGCCACGTTGAATTAGCAACTTCGACACCACGCTGGCGCTTGCATCGCTGGAACGCCAGTTGGCGATTTTGTCGTCAGGCTTGTAATGGCGAGGTGGGTATGGTGCTCTGTACCTGCTTGTCTGAGATGTTGCTTCTTAGAGCTAGCGCCCGTTAGTCTGATCAAAAAGCTGTTACTAGGAAAATCACTAGTAGTTATTTTCCCAAAGTCCCCGCAGCCGCTTCTGTTCTTAGTCCGTCACCTCTTTGTTCCCGCAGCCGCTTCTCTTCTTGGTGAGTCATCACATTTGTCTCCGCAGCCGCTAAGTCCAAGCTCCTTCAGTCGTTGTGTCGAATCGTTTGTTTTCCAGGTAAGTTTCATCACCATGCATATCGTTGCGTCTAGCGCCTTCTGCGAAGCTCAGCTCCCAGTATCTGCGCTAGTCTCTCACTTCGTTCCTCTGCCTCTCTCCTCGCACCCCATTCCATAATCGCCGAGCCTCGCAACCAAGCACCACGCACTGCAGATCGACTCACCTTGCGTGTTTGCCGCAGCGGAGCAAGTACTGTCAGAATATTATGCTCTAGCCTGTAGTGGGGTGCTCTATAGCGAGTACAACCCTTCTAGGGTTTGCTATTTGTATCCTCATTCTTGCTAGTGCAACCCTCTTCTTACTTCTAAACTTTCACATGGTATCAGAGCAGGTCGATCCCCTTGGATCGATCCTGTGGGTGGACTTACCACCTCCTAGCTTCCGCTGCAACTCCTACCTCCACACTTGGTGCCGCACGCCCCGTGGCGTGTGGCAGTTTTTCTTCCCGCCGTGCGCCCTAAGGCGCGCGGCGGTTCTCTGCCCGCTGTGCGCCCCGAGGCGCGCAGCGACGACGGGGACCCGCGCGTCGCCCCCTGTTGCCCGTCGTGGCCTGCGCGCGGCCCGTCCAGGCAGCGCACGGCCCGTACGGGCTTCGCAAGGCCCGCGCGCGGCCCGTACGCACTCCGCCAGGCCCGCGCGCGGCTCGGGCCGCCTGCGTGCGGCTCGGGTGACCGTACCAGGCCCGTGGTGGGCCCGTTCCTTGCTGCCCCTGCCCTATCCGCTGTCCCCCATGCTTCTACAAGCGCCCCACCCCTCCTACTCCCCATTCTCCTGCATTAGGGTTTGGGGGTGAGGGGTATGGGGGTAACCCAACTGTGTGCCGTTCTCTGCTCCTCCTCCTCCTCCGTCTCCTTGTGCTGCAGCTGCCGCTGAGGGGGGGTGGAATTGTTGGAGCCGGTGGAGTGGTACTAAGGGGGGGTGAAGGGGGAGTGGAGCTAGGCGTGTCGCAGCGGGTGTGTGTCAGGGGGAGTGGGATAGTTTGGGGAAGCTGAATGGAGGTTGCCGTCGTGTCGCCTGCAGCACCTGTAGTCCGGGGAGTTGCTCCGGTAGCCCAGTCGTAGCCAGCTGTGCCAGTCGCCCGTGAGTCCGTTGCTCGTCTGCCGCTACTTTAGCCGCGGGGCCAGTTACTCCAGTAGTCCGGAGCGTTCTTCCGGTAGCCACTGTGCCAGTGTGCCTCCCGTTGCCCGTGTGTCTGCAGCTTCAGCCATCGCCTTCTATCTCCTCTCCTCTCACTCTCTCTCCTCCTCCTCACTTGCCCTATGCGATAGCCCCTAGCTTTGCTCATAATTGTGAACTTAAACTATTGCTTCTTGAACTTGTGCTGAGAATGTGTGGTGACAGTGTGATCCACCCTGAGCTTGTACTGCTTTGCTTGCGCTGCTGATTAGACCCCACTTTGGCTATGGGGGTGTGTCAGAATATTATGCTCTAGCCTGTAGTGGGGTCCTCTATAGCGAGTACAACCCTTCTAGGGTTTGCTATTTGTATCCTCATTCTTGCTAGTGCAACCCTCTTCTTACTTCTAAACTTTCACAAGTACGTGAGATGGAACTCCCCTATTGTCTTCGGACTTACGAGCATAGTTGGCCTTTTTTCTCCTTCGGCTCATCTTGTTTACCTGTTTCTATGTTGTTTCAGCCCTTACGCGCCGACGCGAAGCATCAGCCAGCGTAGTCGTTGCATTCCGTGGTAGTTCATGTAGTTTCTGCTTGTATTCCTTGTTTCATTATTGCACCCCGTCTGTTTCTTCTCGCAGGTCGCCTGTTTCTCCCTTTAGGTCTGATGACTTTCCTTGCAGGTTGCCTAATTTCCTTGGAGGTCATCTTCTTTTCAAAGCTCAAGATGAGCGCTGGTGGTAAGATATTATCTTGTTCTTTTATATTTATTTTATGCATTGACATTCAGTTTTATTGTGCAAACCCCGACATTAAGTCATTAGAGGAACTGATGATTTTCCGTCCGAAAATTTGAAGTGGTAAGAGGGTATGCAAGGTCAGGTCGAGTGCAGGTCATCAGGTACATGAGGCAGCCAACAAACTCTGATTACAGCCCACTCGGCTCTACGGACTCATCCGAAGGCAGAGCTGAGAGCGAGTGGCGAGTAGACAGAGGAGTGGCCTGAGACGAGGAGTACGCGAAGTCGAAGCGCTGAAGGACCTGCTGCACCATGTGTGACTGAGTCAGGGTAATGGTGCGCTGTGCTCTGTCCCGGGTGATCTGCAAGCCAAGGTAGCTGCGCAGTTCACCGAGGTCTGTGCACGTATGTCTCTTCTACAGCTCGGGCTTCACGTGGGCGAGTCCAGCAGTATCAGCAGTGGCAAAGACCAAGTCGTCGACGTACACGAGGATGTAGAACGGCGACAAAGAGGTGTCGGTGCGCAGAAATTGCGACAGGTCGGCTGTAGAATGAGCAAACCCAAGAGCCGCAAGTGTAGTCCTCAGTGTGTCGTGCCACTCACGGGGCGCCTGGCGGAGACCGTAGACTGGCCGCCGGAGGCTCCACTAGGTACCAGGAGGAAGCCGGACGACCTAGTGAAGCCAGGTGGGCGGCGCAGCCAGATCTCCTCGTGCAAGCTGCCCTGTAGGAAAGCTGTGCTGAAGTCAAGAGAGTGGAGCTCGTAGTCGCACTGAGCGGCTATGTGCAGCAGCACCCAAAGAGTGGTCATCTTCGGGGTGGGAGAGAAGGTCTGAAAGTAGTCAACTCCCTGCCGCTGACTAAAGCCTCGAGCAACGTAACACGCCTTGAAGACAGGCGGAGGACCTGTGGTCGCTTCACCCTGAAAATCCACATGCCACTGACGATGTTCGCCCCAGGTGGGGGAACCTCGTCGACGTAGGTGCTTGTGGACTTCTAGGAAGGCATCTCTGCGTCCATGGCTGACTGCCACTGAGAGGAGTAGGGACCCTCGATCGCCTCAGCGTACGATCGAGTAGTCCGGATGTCTGGTGCATGCGGGTCTCCCTCAGGGGCAATCAGCGTGGACACGAGATGAGGCAAAGTAGCAGCAAAACGTTGGAACTCCTCCTGCCTGTCCTCAAGGACGTCCGTGCTAAGAGCACACTCACCCACGACGGACAGAGGACAGACTCTGACTCAGCAACGAGACTAGCGGCGTAGTCTCGACGACAGCGAGCAGCAAAGTTGACAAGCTCAGCAACTAAGGCAGGCGCAGGAGTGGACTCAAAGGAAGGGTCAGTGACAACAGTAGCCAGGAGACGCGTGAGAGTAGGACTGGCAGCACGAAGAGAGTCAGACTCCGGGTCAGCAAGAGCAGGAAGAGAGGACTCTGGAGGAGACGGCAACGGGACACGCAGAGGAGCAATGGAAGGACGCAGTGCCATCTGGTGTGTTCCCGGGAGCGCAAGAGGATGCGGAGCACGACGACTAGTGCGAGTAGCACGAACAGGCAACGCAAGACGAGATGCAGGCTCACGATGCTCAGCAAGACCTCTTGTAGGACCAGTGTAGGGAGAAGGAGCAGGTAGGGGGGAGGGGGGCTGTAACTATGACTGCGTTTGGACAGGCTGCGGACACTCTAAGGGAGGAGCAGGACCAGTAGAAGGCGGGAGACCAAGAACCTGCTCAAAGAGCGGAACAAAGTGCGGCCGTGGCCGCAAAGTGCCTCGAGGTAGGGAGGGTTGACCAAGGCGGTGGTGCCAAAGGAGGGTCTGGTGGGACAGGAGACGACTCGAGCAGGGACCAGACTCAGGACCAGACCTGGACACTGCAGCAAACACCTTACTTGATGCAGCTACCTGACCAGACTTAGTAGCCGGAGGAGACTCAGAGGTAAGTGTGTACAGGCTCGACCCGAGCCGACGGGTGAACGTGGCCAAGTGTCGGCCCGTCCGAGCACACGTAGAGTGGGTCACTCGCTGACTCGCAGGAGTGAACTGGTCAACCCCCCTATCCTGTAGATCAGCTCCTTTCACCAAGTTCGTTGAGAACGAGGGGAGGTAGAGACCTGACACGGTGCCAGAGGAGGCTGCCGGGCACGGAAAGAGAGTGGAGAAGCTAGCAAGGACAGGACCCCCAGAGGGGTCCGCCAGGGAGACCGCAACCGGCCGACTAAGTGGCGTAAGCGTGGTGCGGTCTCGAAAGAAGGAGCGGGAAGCACCCGAGTCAAGGGTGAAGGTGTGGAAGGCCTGAGCCAACGTAGTACCTGAGAGAGCAGACTCACCAGCACCTAGGGCAGCAGACGCACTAGCACCTAGAGCAACAGCCTCACCAGCACCTAGACCAGCAGCCTCAATGCCCGGGTCGGGCAGAACATACAGGTAACAGTCACCCTAAAGACTATCAGACACAGCATACGTTGCAACAAGAGTAGCATCATAATAAAGATCAAAGATTGCAACCCCTGCCTTTTACAACTCTGCCCAGCAAGGGATCTCAGAGGCCTCAGGGTACTGGTGGTGCCACGCGTCCGTCAGTCGGCCGAAGCAGCGCTGGGTGGAGTGCGGGCCCCCGCACTACTCACTAGCGTGGTCGCCGGTACGGAGGACGTACGTGCAGGGACCAGTACCCCCACTGCGCTGATGCGCAGAGTATCACTCACGGAGCTGCTGAGGGGACAGGGTCTCACGACTACGCTGCTGCTGCTGGCGCGGACCACCACTGGACCCACTCCTCTGCGCAGAGCCGCGACCAGCTCCACCGCTGCCGCCGCTATCTCCGCCGCATCCGCCACCCCCGCCGCCTCCGCCACCCCCGCCGCCTTCGCCACATCCGCCGCTTTCGCTCCCTCGGCCACCGCCGCCACCGCCTCCGCCTCCACTGCTGCCACCAACACCTCCACCCCCGCCACCACTCCCACCACCACTCCCACCCCCTCCACTGCCTCCACCACCACCTCCACCGCCCCCGACAGCCCCTCCAGCGCCCTTGCCCCCCTTGCCCTTGCCGGTGCGGCGTCTCTCGCTAGGGGCAGACGCAACGCCGACCGACTCGAAACCAACGAGGTCGGCCGTAGCAGCAGAAGCAACAGAAGGCAAGAGGGGGGAAGAGGAACACCCCTCAAAGACGGGGGTGCGAGGGTCACCACGAGAGGCTCCTACAGCGACTATGATCTTCTCTGCTGCTAGGAGGCGCTCCTCGAGGAGGTCAACGGTGAGAGTGGTGGGGCAAACTGAGAGGAAGTGGTCCCTGACTAAGCAAAGGGAGTTAGGGAGCTGGGTGACTATGTAGTAGAGGTTGATGTACATGGGGGAGGGGGGGGTTGTTAGCACACAACTCAGCAGGATGCGCAGCGCGGTAGCGAGTGTCTTTAGTGCGGAGGTGCGTAATGAGGTCAGCAACTATGGGAAAGGCAGCAAGGTCAGGGAAGATGTATGGTAGCATGAGGCGGCTCAGCGCAGGAGTGACAGGGGAAGAGTAGCGAGCAACTACAACGTCGTACAAGGTCTGAGCACTCTTCTACTGGCTAAAGTGCGCACGCTGAGTGGTCAGTAAGTGGCGACGCATAGCAAGATGGGCAGCAGCATCGCGTGTGGCCCACTGTGAGCGAACGGTACTGTCACCAGTAGCAGGCGGGGCAGGGTAGGCACCAGAGGTGAGATTGAACAGGGAGAGGTCGTCTGCCCTATCGCACTGGATGAACAGCTGGAGTTCATCGATCGAGACCTCAAAGTCAACAGCACGACCCTCAGTATCAAATGTATGAACACTGGAGGTAGCCATGAGTGTAGTGGCCTAGCAAGAAGTGAGCTCACCAGTCCGAGTAAGTAGGGCCGGGGCGCACCAGTAGGAACAGCAGCGGCTCGACGGCAGGGCGGCTCGGCGGCTAAGCGGCTCGGCTGCTGGGCGACTCGGCTCTTTGGCGGCTCGGCAGTCGGGTGGCTCGGCTGTCGGGCGGCTCGGCGGTACGTTTGCTGGGCGGCTCGGCCGCTCGGCTGTTGGGCGGCTTGGCTGTCGGGCGGCTTGGCGGCTCGGTTGCTGGGTGGCTCGGCTGCTGGATGCCTCGGCGGCTTCGCTGTTGGGCGGCTCAGCTGCTGGGCTGCTCGGTAGAGGCGGCGACGGGGCCGGCAAAGGCAGCGTTGGGGCCGCTTGGGGCGGCGACGGGGCCGCGTAGGGAGGGGAGCTGCCACGGGGCCGCCAGAGGCGGCTACGGGGTCGCGTAGGGGCGGCAACGGGGCCGTGTAGTGGTGGCTACAGGGTCGTATAGGAAGGGGAGCGGCGACGGGGCCGCTAGGGGCGGCGACGGGGCCGTTAGGGGCGGCGACTGGGCCGCGTAGGGGCGGCGACCGGGCCGCGTAGGGGCGGCGACGAGGCCGCTAGGAACAGTGACGGGGCCGCGTAGGTAGGGGAGCGGCGACAGGGCCGCTAGGGGCGGCGACGAGGCCGCGTAGGGGTGGCGACGGGGCTACGTAGTGACGGCGACGGGGCCGCGTAGGGGCGGCGGCGGGGCTGCGTTGGGAGAGAGGCGGCAACGGGGCCGCTAGGGGCAGCGACGGTGCCGCTAGTGGCGGCTACGGGGCCGCGTAGGGGCGGCAACGAGGCCGCTAGGGACCACTAGGGGCCTGGGAGGGCGGCCAACAAGGCGCGCCTCGGGCAGGAGCGACTGACGCTCCGGTCAGAAAAAATATTTTAGTGGTGGGCCCAAGGAAGCGTTCCCACGAGGGAACCTGCTCTATACCATGTGAAGAAAGAAGGAGTGAATGAACTAGCACAAGGTTGGGTACAAGCAGGAAACCCTAGGAAACTGTACCCCATAGAGTCTACCCCACTATAGCCTACACAAGCTAGATAATATGAGATTGACAATGTACATGGGGGGGGGGGGGTTCTTGGCGCAGAAATCAGCAGAAGGCGCAGCTCAGTAGCGGGTGTCACTAGTGCGAAGGTGCGTAACGAGGTCAGCAATGGTCGGAAAGGCGGCGAGGTCGGGAAACAGGTACGGCAGTATGAGGCGGCTAAGAGCAGCAGTGGCAGGGGAAGAGTAGCGTGCAACTACAACGTCGTACAACATCTTAGCATTCTTGTACTGACTAAAATGCGCACGCTCAGCGGTCGGTAAGTGGCGACGCACAACAAGATGGGCAGTAGCATCTCGCGTGGCCCACTGTGAGCAAACAGTGCTATCAGCATCAGTAGGCGGGGCAGGAGAGGCACCAGAGGTGAGATCGAACAGGGAGAGTCTGTCTGCCCTATCGCACTGTAGGAAAAGCTGCAGGTCATCGATCCAGACCTCGAAGTCAACAGCACGACCCTCAGCATCAATGGTAAGGACACTGGGGGTAGCCATGATAGCAGTGGTCTAGCAGGGAGGGCTCTCACCAGTCTGGGTGGGTAGGGCCGGGGCGCGCCGGAAGGAGCAGGGCTACAATAGCGGTGGCAGCGGCTCGGTAGTGGCAGTGGTGGCTCGACGGTAGCTGCTCGGCGGCTCGGCTGCTGGGCGGCTCGGCGGCTCGGCTGCTGGGCGGCTCGGCGGCTCGGTGGCTCAGGTATTGGGCGGCTCGGCGGCTTGGCTGCTGGGCGGCTCGGTGGCTCGGCTGCTCGGGTGCTGGACGGCTTGGCGGCTCGGCTGCTGGGCGGGTCGGCGGTGAAGGGGCCGTGAAGGGCGGCAACGGGGCTGGCAGAGGCGGCAATAGGGTCGTGAAAGGGCGGCGACGGGGCCGCTAGGGGCGTCTACGAGGCCGTGAAGAGTGGCGACGGGGCCGCTAGGGGGGGCAACGGGGCCACGAAGGGCGGCGAGGTGGCCGCGAAGGGCGGCGACGGGGCCTCCAGGGGCGGCGACGGGGCCGCTAGGGGCGGCAACGGGGCCGCAGAGGGGCTGCAAGGGGCCTAGAGGGGCGGCGACGAGGCCGCGAAGGGGCCGTAAGGGGTCTAGAGAGGCGGCGACGGGGCCACTAGGGGCGGCGACGGGGCCGCGAAGGGGCGGCGAGGGGCCTAGAGGGGTGGCCACGGGGCCTAGAGCGGCGGCAACGGGGCCGCGTAGAGGCCGTGAGGGGCCTAGAGGGGCGGCGACGGGGCCTAGAGGGGCGGCGACCGGGCCGCAAAGGGGCCGTAAGGGGCCTAGAGGGGTGGCGACGGGGCCGCAAAGGACGGCGACGGGGCCGCTAAGGGTGGCGCGAGGGGCCGTGAGAGGGGCCGCTAAGGGAGCGCGTCGTAAGGGCGGCCTACGGGGCGCGCCTCGGGTGGGAAAAATCGAGTTCAGTGGTGGTCCTTGAGAAGCGTTCCCACGAGGGAACCTGCTCTATACCATGTGAAGAATGAGGAATGGATGAACTAGGAAAGAGGTGGGTACAAGTAGGATAACCTAGAAATGTTGTACCCCATATAGTCTACCCCACTACAGCCTACACAGACTATAGCATAGAAGTTTGACCGATATATGCAAAACCTAACCCTAGTGCAAGTACAAAATAACACAAGGGAGAACACCTAGACTAGAACTACACAGACTAAAAAATTATAGTTTGACACATTCCCATAGTCTAGGTGACGGTAGTCCTGTAGAAACAACAAGAGCAAGCAACGGGTTAGGTGGTGGGTCTGTGTTGACGCAAGTGCCTGTGGACCTATAAGATGCCATCTCCGCCTCCTCCGCTGCTATCCAGTACAAAGCCCAAGGTCCCGAGACCGCCTCGGCGTGAGTGCGAGGGATCAGGATGTCAAGGGCGTCTGGATCCAGGGGCAAGTAGCATGGCGTAGTCAAGGCGGCGTAGTCAAGTAGCATGGCGTAGTATAGTAGAGATAAGGAACAGTGGCAGCAAGGAAACCAAGCTCGAAATGCCTATCCTTGTTGACCTCCAAGGGAAAGACAGGAGCACCCCCAGAGAACGGCGTTGTGAAGGCGGTGGGAAGAGGCAAAGCCAGCGACAGTGGTAACAAGAGTTGAGACAGGCGACAGAGGTGCTCTCGGGTGAGTGACCAACGTGGACAAAACACGGGAGACGACAGGACGGGAGGCACACACGTACTAGGACAACAGGTCGTGAAGCACTGTGAGTGATGACCCAGGGAGCTGTGGAAGGACAAGAGGAGATGGAACACAAGAGCGAAGAACAAGGTGGAATGGACCGTCTGCACGGTGACGGGACCGACGACGCTCTGGGGACACAGCACGACTGAGGGAGGAACGACGAGTCCACTGGGATGAGGAATGGGACTCAATAGGGGAAACAGGAGGGGACGGTAGGGAACCACGAACAAAACGTGCAGGTGCTGGGTCGGGGAGGTCGCGTAGTCGCAGTCGCTGCTGCTCCGCCTTCTCTGGCGTCTGCTGCAATGGTACCAGCCCCTGCTGCTGCTCCTATGGCTCCGCCTCTGCTCTCTCCTGCTGCGACTGCAGCTGCACCCGCTACTGCGACCGGGACTCCTGCACTACCCTCTCCTGCTACGGCCGTGACTCCTCCTCTACTCTTTCCTGCTGGGTCTGTAACTGCACCTGCTGCTGCGGGTGGGACTCCTGCTCTACCCTCTCCTGGTGCTGCCGTGACTGCTCCTCTACTCTCTCCTGTTGTGTCTGTAACTGCACCTCCCGCTGGGGGCGGGACTCCTGCTCTACCCTCTCCTGGTGCGGCCGTGACTCCTCCTCTACCCTCTCTTGCTGCGGCTGCAGCTGAACCCGCTACTGCGACCGGGACTCGTGCGCTACCCTCTCGTGCTACTGCTGTGACTCCTCCTTTACTCTCTCTTGCTGCTGCTGCTGCTGTGACTCCTCCTCTACGCTCTCCTGCTGCTGCTGCTACTGTGACTCCTCCTCTACTCTCTCCTGCTGCTGCTGCTGCTGCTGCTGTTGTTCCCTCTCAAACCGCTCACGCTCCTCCCTCTCCAACCGGAGGAGACGCTGCTCACGGGTCAGGAAACGTATAGTGCGCGATGTAGGCGCCACAGTGCCAGTGCCTCCAGCTCCAGCACCCCCAGAACCAGCACCTCCACCACCGACACCCCCGGGGCCTCCAGTACCTCCCATAGGAACACCAACACGCTCCACAGTAACTCCCCGTAGAGAAGAACGAGAAGGAAACTGCGGGACGGACGGGAAGCCAGGGGGTGAGGCAGGGCGAGGCCGCTGACTGGAGGCTACCGTGTCCTCCACAGGAGTGACCTCCACGCCCACAACCCCTGCACCCCCAGAGCTGACACCACCAGCTCCTTCAGCCCCAGTACCCTCACCCTCCGCAACTGCACCCTCCGCACCCCATGACACGACAGGAACTGGACGCTGCGGGGGGGACGAGTGCGGAGTGACGTGCGACACACCTGACGGGGCAGGACGCGAAGGGGGGGGGGGGGGGGCTATCGGAGCGACTGGTGGGGGCTCAAGAGTGAGGAACAGGGGGGGGGGGAAAGGCCTCAGTACCTCGGTGGGGTCAACTCCTGTAGTAACAGACAGACTCGTCGAATCTGACGTCCTGTGAAGCAAAGAACTGG